CCCCTCTCACGTTTCTTACTAGTGAAAAATTTACCCCCCAAAAAGGGGCTTGCTTTCTCTGTGTAATTTCCAGCATACTTTTTAAATTTTCTGGAACAATTTCTGCTTGAAAATATATTTCTCTTNATTGTTTTAAAATTGTACCCCCCTCCGAAACCACCGCCCCCCTCCACCCTGGGACGTAATGAACGATCAGTCCCTCAAAACAGGTGGAAGACCAATCTAGTGGCAAGGCAGTTTAAAGACTTTACAGAAGATCAATTTCTCAAGACAGTATTCCAGTGGCCAAATAAGTTCTGAGTCTTTCTCATGCTTTCTTGTCAAATTCTCGACAAAACAAACTCAGCAACACGTAACGATGTTCTTCGCACAAAACACTTCAAATGCGACTCTTTTTTTTCTCAGAAATCACGTGATTTTGCATACTTTTGTTATTCAGTTACCAAATTCGCAAGCCGTTCTTGCATGACTCATATAAGTGTGCAATTTTAATAATAAAGTTTAAGACAACTTCCACAAAATTGTTTGCGCCTGTTTGTTTTAACTTTCTCTTGTAAAACGTCGATCCAGAACAGTTCTGTCCAACGCACCAGTTAAAACGCTGGTATTGTAGATTTGACTGCTTCTATGTTCAAGTTATAGCCCATAACGATACTGCTCATACCCAAAACGTAAGACTACTGCATCAGTTGAAAAATTGCTGTAGTCTTCTAAAAAAGTACTTTTTAATCGGTTCACGTTGTTTTGTTTCGGACAGCTGTTGTTTAGGATAGCAGCACGATTTGTGTAGTGCCGTTCTAGGAAAAATCTTAGTAGTTGAAAGCTTTTTACCATTAAAAGTACTTTTTGTCTCTACCTTGACATTTATCCTGTTAGTCTTACGAAATAGTTTCTCTTAATTTTAAACTTCTTTAATCATGCAATTAGTTGCTTTCCCTAAAATTTGGATTGAAGTACTGCTGTTGTTAATCCTTTCAAGAATTTATGTTAAACAAAGCGTTGTTTTTTGTTCACAGTTTGTTCATGGCAGTCGAAAGTTTGTAAGATCGGCATGTCGTTGTACGTTCATTTAGCTTTCTCTCTGGTACAAGATAATCAACAAATTCTATGTTTAATAGTATCGATTAATGTTTTGCAAAAGCAAGTTAGACTCGTTAGTAAAAACTGCTCCTGTGGGCTTGAAATTGGTTGGTAATCGGAACGATGTGAACGCCAGATGTGAAAGTCCATTAGTTGGATTAGAAAGTAAAGAGTAAAGTGCAATTAAGATCTTAAATTTAATCACGTAGCAGTGATTGTACAACTAAAGAAATTAAAAGAAAGATGTAACAAATAAAAATAATTTGATGAAAGGAGAAGTGGGGAGATCATGAGAAAAGAAGAAATCATTGAAGAGAAATTAAAAGAAGCAAACTTTGGGGTAGTTAATTAGAGTGTTCAGCCTCGATAATTTAGCGTTGCGCTGTTATTTCCGCTCCCGATCATGCATTGCCTGACTTTTTCAAAGTTATTTTAACCTGACCTGTTAAAATCCAGCTGAATACAATGCATTCTTCAAGAAACATAGTAGTCTGATAATGGACGTATGATACCATTTAAAAGGGTTGTAATAAGATAAGCTCCTGATAGACTCGAAGAACACGTACAGTGCACCTGCAGACTCGCAAAGATGCGCTTGGGAATGTGTCTTCCACCTTCACCTTCAGTTTTGCTGCTTTTGGCAATTCTCGGAAATATCACTTTAGRAGTGAGAGGCAAGTGTAAAAAAATTATCATTTTTTCTTAGAAAGAAAAATCATTTTAAATAAATAATCGTTGAATATTATCTGTCAGTAGGGCCATTTTAGTAGGATTCTTCTATCGGAAGAAGGACTTTTTTTTTTCGTTTCTTCAAAATTATTTCATTGTTCTTTTGCAACCTTGAAGAAGCCTCGAAATCTTTCATGAAAGAAACGGCAGGTTTTATTTTAGGACGTACTTCGTTAACACTCTACCGTTATACACTGCTTCATTTAACGCAATCTTCAGCTAAAATTGGGGTTCTTCGATTCGATCACAGACGGAGCGTTGCACATTTGCTCAAACCCAACGTAAAATGTCATTTTGCCGATCAGCTTTTATTATTGCTGTTCCAGACACTCAGACACTTTGTTAACACTACGGTAGAAATATGTGACTTTTTATCGCCGATTTCCAACAGTTTCAATTGCACCAGTCTCAACGGCGAAAGACACTCAAAGACTTAAGCTTATTTTCTTTGTTCACACTACGGTAGAAATATACGACTTTTTATCGCCGACTTCACAAACAGTTGCATTTGCATCAGTCTCAACGGCGAAACGCCCCCTTGTAGGGGAAAATTTCCTTTTCTGCCAGTTGTGAATTAGACTAAAAAAATTGGAACGTTTGTTTATTTTACGGTTTATTTTTTGGATGTTTGGACATCAAAGTTGTCTGGTTCTTTTTCTGTCAAAGAATACTGACAAACTGAACGCGCAATAGTCCCGTGTGAAATGACAAATAAATCTGTAAAGATAACGTTACGAGTCGATCTAATCTATTTGAAAACTAGTTGCCTCTATAACCTCAAAATTACTATAGTCTGCACGACTTATGAAGGTATTCTGTAATCATTTTCAGAGGTAGCAAGCAGTGCATCTCACTTTGTTTGACAATATTTCAAAGTGACTATTATCCCACCAGAAAACAGCAGGGGCGAGGCTGGGGTTAATTGCAAAATACTGTACGTACCCTCTAAGGGTTTGGAAGTGATGGATCCCTTTGAGTGTTTTGGCTCGTGCCTATCATGTGTCTTTGGTATACAAAACAGAAAATTCTGTTAGATGACCTGGCTTGCTGTAAATTTTTGAGGGATTTTTTTTTTGATAGGTGATATTTCAATGTTTAATGCGTTTGCTCGCTACATGTAATTTTATTCATACCGTAATTCACAAAGGTTTCCCATCTCTGTGAACTTACGTAAAAAAAAAAAAACAAAAAAACTATGAGCTAATCAAAGAAATAAAAAGGTGCTACTTAATGGAACAAAACTACTTAAATCAGCAGGTAAAAATAATACTGATTCAGAAAGACTACTACATTAGGCTGATGTATTATGGAGGTCGGTAAGAAGTACCATTCTTTCAAAGTTCCGTTGAAAAAGTTGTACCCATAGTTGGTACTATTATTGCCGATATTGATAGAACAATTGTTTGTTTAACGCTTCATATTTGCGACTCCTGCAGGGGTTTTCCCGAAACGACTCTAAAAATACCACACGTAAAATTAAATTCAAAGCGCTACACAGCAGCAATTTTATTTTTATTTTTAAATGTGATGCTGATGAGCATGTCTCAGCATGTCTCACGGCTTTGGTTCCCAGTGTGTCGATAACAATTTTGCCGTAAACCATTTTCAACATGATTATTAAGCGAGCTATTGTGTGTTTGCCCGTTCAGGCTGTTTAGCAGGTTAAAGCTGCTCCAGCTTCACACACATAACAGCTCTGAAAGATCCCTGCAGTTCTCCGCTGTGCTCCATTGATGTCTCGAAAATACTTCTGGTTACTAGGGTCCCAAACGCTTCAAGCGTACTCCAGACAGAGTCGAACAAGAAATTTGAAGGCTTCA